AATAATAGTCTGACAGGAAGATGTTTGTCCCTTGACTCACACTGGGAGTAATTTGTCTTTCCCAGCATGCGTTCTTGTGTCCTCCGTGGTGACGCCACATTTCAGGGCCAAATAATGATTTGAAACCAAAAGAATGCCAGGGACAAGTGATGGGGGCAGAGCAGAGGAAGACGCTGGATCAGATGATGATGTGGCGAAAGAGAGAATGAATGAAAAGCCACAAAATGCATCCAGAGAGCAATGCATCACGCCCAGTGCTCTTCAGTGTATTGCACAAGTGTTACTATGCCTCATAATGAGAAGACAATTACACTTCTCTCCTTATAGTTGATAAAGCAGTGGTTTTCACTGGAATGTGTTTAAGTGGCCTGGTGGGTGAGAACATCCGCAGACTGTATTTTATTTTGGCCTGGATTTTAAAATAAGCACCAAACTTAAGCACTTGTGCCACAGTAGAAATCTAATTATGTATATTGAGAGAGAAGAGAAAGCAGAGAAAGTGTGTGTGAGAGGGGGCGGGCAGACGAGAACAGAAATGTTAAAAAGCTGAGCTATGCAACTCCTCGAACGGGATTAAGAGCCATGGAAGCTCAGCAAAAGCCCCATGGGGGGAAAGAAGGGGAGGACAAGGAGGAGGGAGGGAGGCTGGTGTGTGTCTGTGTGCATGTGTGTGTGTGTGTGTGTGTGTATGTGTGTGTGTGTGTGAGTGCATGTAGCAGCACGTCGTCCCGTTCACCGAGGGTAAGGAAAAAGATCAGAGCCAGGGTGGAAAAGGACGATTTAGCATCAATCATTCTTAATCGTTTAAGTAACAATCTGCTGAATTATATAACACAACTCCACCTATAGCTAGTTCGTACAAGCTTTAGCTTTTTCTGCTGTAACCCCACCTATCAGGTAGGTGTTTCCTGGAATTCAGGTGCGCATTAGGTGATGCCTTTTGCATATCAGGAAGCAGTAGTTTGGTTGGAGCACACAGAATTATGTGATGGCTTCATGGTTGAATAAGCAAAATCACTAATGATCTGGATCGCTGACAGCAGAGATGTATTAACAATACATGCCAGCCGAACGCTTGAGAATCTTGGCTTTAGATGTTTGGTCTCGCTGTCAGTTCTAGCAATCAACCAGCTGGTTTGAGAGTCTTATTGTTTACTACCGACTGTAACTAATTAGTGAAATTGTGATTCAAGTGTTTACTGTGTACCACTGCGGTCTTGCCGCGATCTGTACGAAATCGCAGACCTGTCGCTGACTGGATGGGGCTCAGCAATGTCACAAAAGTTTACATCTGCAGGAATAAAGGTGCACCACACTGGAACGCTGCCTTTGTGACAGTCAGAAATTCGGGGATTCTCATCTTTTAGAAAACAGAGTGAAGGGTTTTAAGTGAAATTTGACAAGCTAAGATAAGAGCTCTTACAATGGGAACACATAGCCCTCAGCTATCCAGCCGTAGAGCTACCATCCCACACACAAGTACAGGGGGGAGAGGGAACGAGGACAGATAGTGTTGTGGCTAGCAGAGTGTGTTAAGAGTGTATCTCGAGAGAGTTATCAGGGCATTCTTGTGTTTCAGCAGAAACATTCCCAGGCCTTCTGTTCACCACAATAAAAGCACCTGTGCGCTCCTTTGACAGGTTCAAAGACGAGCCCTGATTGGGAGGATGTGAAGAGAAAAATGTCCTCTACAGCGGAGGCAAATCAGCGCTCGCTGTGATACATCAATAGTCTTTTGTTCCATTGATCAGGAATAATAATCAGGGTTAAGGAAGCAAGACAGACTTAATGCACTCTCATCAATGTCATTGCTCATGGACAGAGTATGTCAATGCTGATGTGAGCAGACATAATGAGCCGATAACGCAGATCCACTCAACAATAAAACATAATGAGGCACAGACTCAATATCAGAGGGCATAAATATAGAACATATCCACACGCTGAGTATAGTATGGGCTTTGGATCCTTGGAGCCATAAAGACCTTCAGACAGTGACAGGAAAGGTAAAAAAGGTAGGAAAGGTTCTCTGGTATTGAAGTCAATGGGCTTTTTGAATGGTTTAGATGCCCAAAGTAAGGTCTGCTTAAGAGAAAGCTTAAGAGACTTTGATGTTTTGTTCTATGACATAATATATCCGTAAATACCCCACTCATGAATCTGGAAGACTGTTGCCAACAAGTGGTTAATGAGACCACAGAACATCATCACACTGAACATGGCTTTACAGCCTTGTTATGGTGGCAACACTGAAGTCAAACGACCATGGTGTAGTTTGTCTATAGGCTAACGTTAGCTTTTTACTTCTGGTGACTGCATTTACGCTTCAAAACTCATAAAAGTGGTGGTAAAGATTATAATACTGAACAAAACGTCTAAGTATCATTAACGCTTGTTTGCCACAGCTTATTTTCTGCAATCATCCAAACTCCAAATGAAAAATCCCATTTGCTTTTATGACGAAGGAACCAGCGTGATACTAACTTCGGGGTTGACCTACAAAGAACGCCATCCCTGTAGCACTCTATAACCACAAAATAAAACTAAATACTCCATAAGAGAATATGGGAGACCAGTGGAGCAACAGAAAGACTTAATTCACGAGAGACACAATCAGAGTCTTGTCTCCCTGGTTAAGGTTCTGTTAGCTCACCAATCCCCTCTGGCCTTCCTTCCCCAACAGCCTGGGGTTGAATCATCAGCGGTAATGGTTACCTAACACTTGACATCAGTGCGAGCCCCCAAATCAGGAGGGTTGAAGCAAGTGCATCTGTTTAATTGTGCACAAACACATGGTTGCTTATATCTGTGTGCGTGTCCAAATGGTTGCAAGTAAAGATGAGGGCCAGTTCCCTTTGGGACCATCATGAGGTCACTGTTGTCAAGGATACGGCAAGAGCTGTCAGCTGTTATTGACAAACATAAATGCAGTGTCAGTGAATGAGGGCTGTAAGGCCTGTGACTATTGAGGTCAGTTGCTGCCTCCTCAGATGCTCCGCAGGTCGTCTGTTACGGCCGTAAAGCACTTAGAAAAGGACAGTCTGTCTTTTGTGGGAGACAAAGACAGGGCACAAGTCCTTTAGGAAAAACACTGTTTGAGGAAAAGGGGGAGACATCTGGGGGAAGCCCTACACTGCCTAATGAAACACGGTTTGTAGCAATGCAGGTTTAAGGGCTGTCCACACCAAGGACAACAACAATAAATATATCAATTTCAAAATCTCTCCAGTTTGCGTAGATGGCAAAGTCCACAGCAGAACTATAATGACAGTGGCGACGAATCACTGGGATCACTTTCAGAACAAATTGATGAACAACAGGAACAGTTCTGGCCCAGAACCTGTTTAATAAAATAAAGTCTTTAGGAAGATGCTATCAAGAATAAGGATATCTATCACGCTGGCAATCAGTGGTAAGTGTTTTGTTAGTCTTATTAACAGAGATAAGGAGACGGTTATCTGGTAGGCTATCCAGCATTACTTCAGCAATTTTGTTAACCCAGATCCCTCCTGGTCTTTTCGCTCGTTTGTTTCTCTGCACAACATACAGCAGTAACAGGTGATCAATATCCTAAGAAGCCAACACAGCTGGAGCGTGCAGTGCGTGCTTGGTCAGTGTGGATGTATCATTATCGTTATTGATGTGAAGGGCCATTAAGTCCGGCTGATGAACTGTTCCTGACGAACTGAATCCTATTAATGTCTCTGCCACTGCCCAAAAAAAACGATCAAAGAAAGATATTCAAGTTGGCAAAAAAAAAAAAAGAATTTCTTGCGTGCAAAATGTTCTGAGAACAATTTCTAGTCATCAAAACGATCCTGCACCTACAGCTAAAATAGCCACAAACATGATTCAACTAATTAACTGGGAATATGGGCTTGCCCTGTTGCAGCCTGGTCCGTAGCAGCTCATTTGTATTCCTTCGGTAATGTGTGATATGCTGGCATTCCTCAGCTTGGAGAGATGACAGAATGACACAGAGAGAAGGCAAGCTGAAGAGATCTAGCTGTGTTGGGCCATTTGCCCATTTCAGGGCTTAATGTGCTTTAGGAGATCAACCAACGATGAGAGATGGAGAGTGAGAAAAGAATACTAAAGAGAAAAAGAGAGGGAGGGTTGAGCAACCAGCTGTCAATAGGTGACAGGGTAGTTATTCTGTCAGGGTATTAGATTTATCAAGCCTGTTCCAACTGCCTGATTAATGTCACTGTGGTTTCTTGCAAGGTGTATGTGTGTGCCTGTACTGCAGCAGTTACCCTGCCAGTGTAGGTGTGAATGTCCAGTGTTTGCTTTTGTCTAATCTTTACCTTGAAAGAACAAAGTCTGCTTCTGTCGTGAGGAAAAAGCAACTTACGGCAAATTCTTTCTGCATGACCTTGTCATAGGAACATACGCCTTGAGATCTAAACCCATGTTACAGTAAGTTCAGAGCAAAACTCTGGATTTAAAACGTCTCTTTCATTCAGATTCAAATTAAATGTGAGTTTTTCTGGTGAAATCCTGGGAGACATCTTGCCACAAGATGTTCATAAAACTCCCTGCAGTACACCTAATGTACACAGGGCCAAAAACCTTCAGCCACTTCAAAGAGTGAAGTCATGTGTGTGTGTTTGCCTGCACTGTGAGCTCGTGTGTGTTCCAACGTGTGAAAGAAACCCACATATCTGCAACAACAAAGCGGCTCAGTTATCAGGGTGCCCTGCTAATAGCACTTTTTTATGACCTAAACCAACCACTTGTACACAATACATTTATCACCCAAATGGCACAAAAGCAGCACAACCGGATCCTGCATAGAGCCTGGAGCAAACACTCGCTGAACATACAGTCAACACTGCAGCCGAAACCTGCCCTCAGCCTGTATTCTGCAGAGCATTTTATATTGACTCTGCAGTGTGATGACATGTGGTGACTCAAATTTCAATCTGAATTTTCTCACAGAAAACAAGAACATTAACAATGAGATGAAGGGAAAAGAAATGTTTAGATTTTTTTCTCACCTGAGACGGATATACTCATGGGTGCTTCCAGGGCTCTGTCATTGTCCAGGTCCCTGCTCAACCTCAGATCCCCTGTGTCCTCGTTCAGCAGCAGCAGATTGAGCTCATTCCCAGATTCAAACTTGTACCGCAGCTTATCCGACACGTCCGGGTCATGAGCTGGTACCTTTCCTATTATTCCTGATGGGAAACTGTTGGACTTGTTGGTGATGTAGTTGTTGAAAATAATCTCAAAGTTCTGCAGCACCGGCACATTGTCATTCATGTCTACCAGGCGGATGTGCACAGTGGCCCGACTCACCAGTGGTGCTGAGGTGGCCTGGACCACAATCACATACTCTGTTTTAGTCTCGTAATCCAGGTCTGTGAGTGCAGTGAGGTCGCCGTTAAAAATGTCCAGCTGGAAAACTTCTGGAATATTCCCTTCGACAATCTGGTACATGATCTGAGCGTTGGTGCCCTCGTCGGGGTCGGTGGCAGTGATCCGGGCCACGACAGACCCCACCGCGCTGTTCTCCTCCACGTCAATGAACAGTTCGTCCTTCTCAAACACTGGAGCGTTGTCATTTATGTCTTTGACAACCACATGGATGGAGACAGCTGCTTTCAGAGGCGGAACCCCTCTATCCACAGCGTAGGCCTTCAGATTGTAAACAGGGACGTTCTCACGGTCCAGTTTGCGAGCGGTTCTGATGATGCCAGAGTAAGGTTCAATGAAGAAATCCCCCTCACCTTCATCGCCACCCTGAAACGTGTAGCTCACCCTGCCATTTGAGCCAGAATCTCTATCTGAAGCAGAGATCTGGAGGACGCTGTGGTAGACAGGTGCATCCTCAGGTACAGTCCCATCATACCTTTCCCTAAGAAACTGGGGAGCATTATCGTTGGCATCAAGGATGATTATCTCCACATAGGTGGTGTCAGATTTCTGAGGGATCCCGTTGTCTCTGGCGATGATGGCTAACGTGTAGGAGGCCTGGTCTTCATAATCTATCTCCATTTGTGTTGTGATGGCACCTGTATCTGGGTCGATTTTAAACTGAGGGACATTGTCCTCCATCACATATGTGATGCGAGCATTCTCACCCGTGTCCTCGTCCGTAGCACTTATCACCACCACAGTGGAGCCCACTGGTTTTTCCTCACTGAGCATCACCTGGTAGTTGGCACTTTGGAAGACAGGCCGGTGCGTGTTGGCGTCCGTCACGTTAATGAACACCTGAGCAGTATCGTAGCGTGTTCCATCACTGGCGGTGACTGTCAGGACGTACTGGCGTTCCTGCTTGTAGTCCAAAGGGAGGGCTAAGGTGATGAGACCGCCGCCACTCTGGCTTGTGATGGCAAAGCGGTTCCTGGTGTTGCCGCTGGAGATCTGATAGGTCACCACGCTGTTGACGTCTCTATCCACGGCTGTCACGGTCAGCACGCTGGTCCCCACGAGAGCATCTTCATTGATTTTCAGCGAGTAGACCTTCTCTGTGAATGTGGGTACATTATCATTCACATCCAGCACTGTGATGCTGACGCTGGCAGAGGAGGACATCACAGGTATCCCGTGGTCTCTCGCCTCCACGCCGAATGTGTAGAAGTCAGTGGTCTCCCTGTCGAGCCCTTCGCTCACTGTAATCCAGCCTGTGCTGTTGTTGATGGTGAACGGAAAACCAGGCATGGTGTCAGTTAACCGGTATTCCAAACGAGCGTTTTCTCCTGAGTCACCATCAATTGCTTGGATGTGGATCACAGAGTAACCAATGGCCACATTTTCCAGCACAGTAGCCTGGAAAGGTGTGCTCACAAACATGGGGGCATTGTCGTTCACGTCCACCACCTGCACCACCACCATCCCTGTGCCGTTTATCAGAGGAGGCCTGCCGCCGTCCTGTGCCTTAATCCTCAAATTATACTCCCGAATCATCTCGTAGTCCAGAGGATTGATGACGTCAATCACACCAGTGGGGGAGTGAATGTAGAACTGTCCTTTAACATTGCCACTGATGATGCTGTAATGTACTTTGGCGTTGTTTCCCTCGTCTTTGTCTGTAGCTTCCACCTGGATGACTTTGGTGTTGACCGCCACGTTCTCCGGGACCTGCACAACATACCTCTTTTCACTGAACTGTGGGTAGTTGTCGTTCTCATCCTCCACAGAGATGTTGACAGTGGCGGTGGCGCTCCGGGGCCCTGGGTCTTTGCCCTGGTCATTGGCCTCAACAATCAGCTGGTACTGGGCCCGGGTCTCCCTGTCAGGCCGCTCTCTGATCCTCACCAGGCCGTTACGGGGGTCGATTTCAAACACAGAGTTCACACCGTCACCGTTGACAATTGTATAAATCATATTGGCATTGGAGGGAGCGTCCCCATCAGTGGCTCGGATTGTCATCACTTCAAACCCCACTTCTACATTCTCCCGGATGCTAACGCGGTATTCGGTTTGCTCAAACACTGGGCTGTGGTCATTAGTGTCGCTCACAGTGACAGTGAGGTAAGAAGTTGCAGACCTTTTAGGGGAGCCATTGTCAGTTACAGTGACTTTGAAAACGTGGGTGTCTTTGACTTCTCTGTCAAGTGCCTGGACGGTTGTTATGCTCCCTGTTTGGTAGTTAATGTCAAAGAAGTCATTGGACCTGCTGTCAAACAAGGCTTCCATGCTGTACTCCAGCCTCCCTGCCTCTCCATCATCCGGGTCAGTGGCTTTCAGGGTGATCACCCGCGTGCCCGCAGGCTCATTCTCGGGCACGGACACCTGATAGTTGGGGAGCTGGAACTGGGGAGGCGCGTTTACTTGTCGCTTCCCCCTGCGGATCAACTTGCCGGACTTTCTGTGGACGGTTTCTGAGGAGGGGGGTTCATGTTGTTTGGGCACTTTTACAAGCGTCAAACTCAGCCGCACAGAGAGCCCTGCAGAGCTGTGCAGCGCGCAGTGCAAACACACCTCGGGCTGTCCTCTGTGCTCAAGACATAAGTCACTGACCAGGAACAAATCCCCCTGCCTGAACATTGCACTCAAGTCTTTGCCAACACACATTGTGTCCAAAAAAGTGGCGCTGCGCGTAAACGCAGGCAAAAGTTCTGTTACATTCAAAAGCAGCTTACCTGCGGGCAAGCAGGAAGTTGCCTCCAGTTCTGTAAGGTGTTTAATGTGAATGTCGGGCTTACCTGGCGCCTTCTTTCTCTTGTATTTAATAAAACAGTCCTGGCCGTGGACAAACACATTAAACTGTGTGAGAATAACGTCCCCAGATGAAGAACCTGTCCTGAAATACACAGGCGCTGGGTTCCTCGCCGTGTGCGCACACTGAACTTTGTGGGACAGACGGATAACCCCATCATGTCTCTCAACTTGGAAAAAGCTCTGGATGAATTTAGGTGATAAACTCCTGTCAAGTTTAGTAATCCATCCAGGGCCGTGCGACAGGTTTGCCAGAAGTGTCCCGGGCTGTAAAGTCTCCGAAAGGTGTATCTCCAAACATCCCGCAAGAGGCACGTTGAACAGGACACAAACCCAAATCCATAAACACATCGGTAGCTCCATTCTTGTGAACCTGCCAAATCCCATTCAACTTCACCGAAACTCCTCCGCAAACGCATTAACTCTCCCTCTCCCAGCACCGCGCTTTACTTTTATCCCTCATTGTGGAGTTTTTAATGTGGAAAAAGACGCTCGGTATCCATAGTGTCGGCGTATCCACGGCGCGCAGCAGCTGCGTTAACCCACACTGAGTTTAAAATGAGTACAAAATGGCTCCGTGGCTCTCCTCCGCCTCCTCCTCCTCCTCCTCCTCCTCTCCTCCTTATTACCATAAACCTGCTGTGTTCCCCCTCCGGGACGCTTTCACGGGGGGGCTCTTTTTTCTCATGGAGATTTAGGAAGTGGCCCCGACCGGGTGAGCAATGCGCGCAAGTGCATTGTTATGACAATAAGGTGAGAGTTGGGTAAAATTCCTAATGCGCGTTTGAGTGTCGCTCTTTCTTTAACTTTCTATATGCCAAAGTACTTATTGGCACAACTGGTGCAGAGGAAAGACACGAGAAGTGGCTTAACTAAGACTTCGAATCCACAATTTTAGAAATGATGTCATGTCACGCAGCTCCAACAAGGTGCTGCTCTGCTGTTAATGTCATAATAAGGGGGACAGAGTGTCACTAGTTGCATCATCATTCAAATAATCAGAATCAGAAATACGTTATTGATCCCAGAGGAAAAACAGTTGCTCCGATGCAAAGAAGTAAGAATAAGAGTATGAAAAAAGTAGATATAGATATAGAGCAATAAATAAATTAAAGCAGGGCTGAAATATGCATTAAAATAAAAAATACAATGTGCATTATGCTCCTGTGTTTAACACTAAAAATTAAGATATAAAAAATAAATGATCAAAGTAAAATATATAGAGTCACTGTGCTGAGGCTGCAAGTGTGACAATTTAACTACAATATATACATCAGTAGAAATAACAGCAATAGAATAAGAGTAAGCATAAGGAATATGTAGTTATGTGCATTATACAGTACCAGTCAAAAGTTTGTGTCCAAACTTTTGACTGGTACTGTATGTTGAATTAATATATACATTCAAGAGGTGAAAAGCTTTGCACAGTTAAATAATTGCACAGAATATTGCAGCAGTTGAATTATTAGACCAAAATAGATAATTATGAATCATAAATGCAGGAGGTAACTGCATATAAATAACTATCTCCAGCAAATGCTACAGCTTAATAAACCAAATTATCAGTTAATTATTGCTTTTGTTAATCAACATATGATTGTGTTCTTCATGGTGAGTAATAATTTTAGCAATGTTATGTCTCAGAAAATGAGCTTTTAATAGTTTTTAATAGTCTAGCAATGAAAAATACCAGACAAGCCTTGAATGGATGTAATATTTTATCTCTCCTTTTATCATTTTGTTTTTGGAACTTCTATTTTCACTTTAATGTATTGTATGATGGCATATCAGCAAAACCTTTTTTTGTGTGATTATCAGGAAAAGTTAAATAAATTATATACAAAAAAATGTGTCTAGAAAACAGACAGCATGACAAGGTCAAATTTATATAATTAGGCTCAGCCATGACTGTCATTAAAATTCATTGGAATATACAGTATGCTGATTGTGCAAAACAATGCTGACTGGAGAATAGCAGGTTCACCTTGGAGGAGTCTCTTGTATAATGGCGCCCCCTTGTGGATCAAAAACTACAGGCCAACACATACACAACAATATACTGGGTGCGTTCCGAATCACATACTTTTTTTTTTTTTTTTTAAACTTTTATTATCTACTGGAGCTGCCCTTGAAAAGTATGTACTGTTGCATGCAGTATGCACACAATCGGGACATACTAATTGGGAACTTTGACCCTCTTACTCATATATCCGTTACCATGGAGATACAACAAAATGCCATTTTGCAATAAGCAATAACTGCAAACATTGTAGATTTTAACATATTCACAATAGCAAAATTACATAGGCTCTAGATTTCTCTGTCATTGTTTAATACATATGCCCTTTTGTTGTTGGTTGTTTTTATGATTATTAAATTCAATTAAACAATATTCCTATTATTACTAATCGACTGGTCATCAGTCATCTAAAGGCGCTGTCATCCATTGTTGTGACTTCTGACAGTCAATGATGTATCATCCGCTGTGCAGAGGATTGTGGGTCAGAACAGCCAGAGCAGCATGCTGGCTTGCATACTGCGAAATCAGACTGGATGTGGCAGAACATCCTGGTATTTTTGGCATACTATATTTGACACACTATGTATCGGGACGTGCTTAATCTTTTTCTGACATACTAAATAGTATGGTCGTATGGGGACTGGAACACACAGACTGTTTCTTTCTCAAGTACATAATGACTCATGAGGTAATACATACAGAGCAATGGAAAAGAACTACACATCACATATTTAGGTTTATTCACTCATTTGTAAATGTTCAAGTATTTACAGTTTCTAGGTCAGGAAGAACTCGTGTTCCGCTACTTACAGCAATGCCATTTAAAGAGAAAGGCACTTAAAATGCTTTTATACATATTCCAATAATTTGTTGTTGTTTTTTTTTTATAAAAATCCTATATTTAAAAACTGGAATAAATATGCATGACAGTATAAAGCAGTTGAGCAACAGCTGACAACAATTTCATTGTCTTTTCAATCATTTAGAACAATTGAATCAGCTGTCTCAAAATGTGACTGACATGTAAACAGCGCTAAGATAACAAATAGCACCATTTTAAAATCATATTTGGTTGCAGTCTTTTAACTTGGCATGCTTTGAGGCGATAATTTGTCCTATGTTTACTGTTAACTGGCTTTGGACATCATTTCTCCTCGGAGAAAACTTCTAACCTTCAATTCACAAACAAGAACAGAAACTATCTTGTATTGTGACAAAGACTTTAGGGTTAACACTGAGCACTGATGTACCGTAGGTTTGCAGTTGGCACATAGGCAGGGTGAACATGAGCGACAGTCTATCAGAAAAAAGGTAAAAGACAAGAGGGAGATTCATGACCACGAGCAGCCAGGTGACAGGAAAAGCTGCAGTCAATGAAAAGTCTGAATCACATTATAACATCACAGTCACTTTCATTCACAGATAACGGGCAAAAAAGAAGTTACCATGCTAGCTTAGAGTCAAATGCCACCCGCTCGCAGTTTTCCTGTTACAGTAAACAAAACAACAGTAGAGGACTCAGAGCACCAGCAGCCTTGAAAAAGACGCCCTTTACCTCAGACTACAGGTCACAACATTGAGAACTATGTGAAGACAAAAACTGTCCAAATAAAAGTTTAGGTTGATGGACTGTGGCATCCATACTGTTGATATGTCGAAGCTGGGCGTTTAAAAACACTCACCCATTTACAGTCTCTAAAATGGCCTCCAGAACAGGCACCATGTCACAGAGTTTATTCTCAGGAACTGTGTGCTCTACCTAATGTACCGGACAGAGCTCATTTCTACCACGTCCAGGCTGTGAGCTCATCTCAGCTCGCTGGTTCAGGCATCTGCTGCTGCTTCTTCAGCTGAGCTGCCGCCTGTGCCAACCGCTCTCTGCCCCGCTGGAGTGTGTACTCACTGGGCCCCAGCTGTATGATCTTCCCACTACCCAGACACTCGTCTCCTTTGTAGAGCACTGCGAACTGAGCGATGGATGGAAAGAAAGAGTAAGAAAACATGCACATACATTTATACTCCTACACTGAGGATGTCTTTGGGCTTTATAACTGGTGTCACAGCACAGGACTGAGGAATACTGTTACCTGTCCAGGTGTCAGAGCTCTGATGGGCTGGGAGAGAGAGATCCACACGGAGCCATTCATGTTCAGTGTCACTGTACAGGGAGCTGGAAGCACAAAAGAAGTGTTTGGGGATTTCTTTGTACAGTAAATAACGTCTCAATCATCAGTGTAACAGGTAGACACAAAACTCACTGAGCGGCATCTGGTGGATGAAGCGGAAATGACACTCCATCATCTGGGTCTTGACGAGTTCAGGTGGCGGGTCGACCGTGACCCAGTGGAAGCGGTCTGTTCGCACCGTGTCACGGAAAAGAGACGGGTGATTGGTTGTTGGAGCCTGAGTCAGAAGCAATATAGAGAATAAAGTAACAGCAAAAATTGGTCAAGTTGCAAACAATGTGGCACATTTGACTATACCTTAAAAAAGTGAGCAAATTAAATGTAAATCCTAAATGTTAGCGAGCATTTTCCTCAACATAAAACACCATCCCTGTGCTGGCTCCTTGAGAGATTGATGGATATAACACATTTTATACTTCATGATATTTTATCAGTGCAGCATTAAATGATGCATGGGAATAAGAAACAGACAACACACCATAAAGTGGCTCCAATGTTTTTTGAACATGCTGTACAATATGATTCCAGAGGACACAAAGATGCTTCCAGTTTAACAACACAGACAGACTTTCTCACCACAAACACATCTCCAGTAGCGATGTCTTTGTCCACCACAAACCAGGGGTCTTTTAGCCCTCCTATCCTCGCCCTCTGGCCCAGCGTCAGAGTGAACCAGCCTGGACGGACAGAGACACACAGGAAAATGACAAGAGAAGTAATTTTTGAACAAAAATTTAGACGACATACACATGAGGATCGGTGAAGCAGAAAATAGGGATTTTACTTTAGTTAGTAATTGGTGTAAGATCCACTACATTCTGACACAGCAGCTCTTCATTTTGTCAGAGAAGTTGATGACTTTAGAACCTCAAACAACCACAAACAAACCTTTGTGTGTTCCCATGACGGTCCCGTCCTCAATGGAGACAAAGTTCCCTGGTTTAGGCTCCAGGTACTGGAAACAGGAAATAAAAATAGCATAGGTTTACATGTATCTCTTCTTAAGTGATAGCTTTTAGTTTCTTAGAAACAAAGGCAGGAGGCTCTGTGACAAATCAAGAAAAAAAAAACTCTGACAAAGAAAAATAAAGGGAAACTGGAAATTTGAACAAATACTTACTCAGTTTTAATTCTTACCTCTAAAATAAAGTTCTCAAAGTTCCTCTCTCCAATGAAGCAGATGCCCATGCTCTGGAAGACATCATGTTCACTGTTAGCAATTAATGTGAATTACATAAAACATTTCCCGATTTATGCTCTCCTGATGGAATACAATTCAGGGTTCCTACAGCTTAAGGCAAGTAAGTTTTAAGACTTTTTTTAAAGC